AGCCACAGGCGCCGAGCCACCTCTTTCTTTCTTTTCTTTCTTTTTTCTTTTTGGAGACAGAGTCTCACACTGTCACACAAGTTAGAGTCCTGTAGTGTCATAGTGCACAGCAACCTCAAACTCCTGGCCCAAGCAATCCTCTTACCTCAGCCTTCCAAGTAGCTCGGACTACAGGCACCGACCCCATTGCCCAGCTAGTTTTCGAGACAAGGTCTCACTCTTACTCAGGTGGGTCTCAAACTCCTAAGCTCAAGCGATCCTCCTGCCTTGGCCTCCCAGAGTGCTAAGATTACAGGTGTGAACCTCTGCACTGGGCCAGTTATGTCTCATTCTTCTCACTCAACTTGGACCTTCTTGAAGAACTTGGTGAAATGTTTCTCCCTCTGGGCCTCATGGAAATGAGAAACTAGACCAGAGAACCCAATATGATTGACATTTGACCTCTGAAATCTGAACCTCTGACCTCTGAAATTTGACTAGGCAAATCCAGTGTGTGTGTGTGTGTGGCTTTACTTCTGGGTAGGGGCGGAGTACCCAGTTGTAATGAAAATTTTAATGGGAATAATCCTTCATATATTCAAAAAAGAAAATAAAAACACTATCACAAAGATGGAAGAAACAGAGGCCTAGAGTCAGAGATAAAATATCTTCAGGGACCTTTCTCTGTGTTGCAATTATCAGGGCTAAACTAACAACAGGTCCTAGATGGGCAGGGTGGCCCATATCTGTAATCCCAGCACTCTGGGAGGCCAAGGCAGGTGGATTGACTGAGCTCAGGAGTTTCAGACCAGCTTGAGCAAAAGCAAGACCCTGTCTCTACTGAAAATAGAGAAACTATCAGGATATTGAAGGTTAGGCAAGGAGGATTACTTGAGCCCAGGAGTTTGAGGTTGATGTGAGCTATGACACCATGGTACTCTACTCAGTGTGACAGTGAGATTCTGTCTCAAAAAAATTAAAAAATGAAAAAATAATGGCAGGTCCTGTCAGGCTCTGTACCGTCCCTGGTACAGAGCCCTTCTCTGGCTTCCCATGTTCCTCAGGACAAATCCAGATTCATTTGTGACTCCAGAGCCCATGTCAGCAGGGCCCTGCCAGTATGTGTGTCCTTATCCCCACCTCTGGTGTGTGTTTGTGTTCCTCTGTCTTCCATGACTAGAGTATGGTTCACAACATGGCCCTGATGAGAGAGCAGAGCTGGGAGGTGGGAGGTGAGCTGGGTTGGCCCCTCTGAGTGGAGCTCCCCCGGCTTCAGGTTAACGTGCTGAGGCATTTTGGAAGGGTTGTACATCTCTTGTGCACCCTAATCAGAGATTAGTCAGAATGAGACTATCATTCAATAATAATTGCCTAGATGAGTCCAGTCGGTGTTTTCCACTGCTGAGAGCTGAGTTGAGCCTGTGATCGCCAAGGGGTGAGGGCTGTGCTCTGACATGGGTTTTGGGCTGTACCCTAGAGTGGAACTCAGTGCAGCCCAGCTCCCTACTGCTGTAGCTTGTGTGCAGGTATCATCAGGAAGGGGTGGGGCTGTAATGAGGGAGTCAGACAATCACCAGTTTGTCTTTCTGTAGGAGTGTATTCTTTGTGCATCCCCCTTGGTGCAGTGGTCAGCAGAGGACCTGCCTTTCCACAGAGCGAGGTCTTTGTGTATAAGTGGTTATGTCAGAAAGAGGGAATGTGTTGGTTCTAAACAATAAACAGCATATTTTTGTTATTTTTTTCTTTAACAGCATATTTTTGACATTGAGGATTGACTTCTAAAGAGTCATATTACCCGAGGAAGAAGCACAGAAGAAGAAAAGAGTGAATTCAGGAATGGCTCTTACTCAGGTACGGTGATGTATCTTCTCTGAGTCTGCAGTGTCCAGCCTGACGAGTTTGAGCATGCTCAAATTCACCCCTGCCTTCCCTCAGTCCCTCTCACCTGCACTGAGATTCCATGTTACCATGACTTTGTGACTTGAGCTTGTGAAGAGGCTCTATGGGGCAGGGCCCTGGGAAGGGCTTCACTCGCAGACATCAGTGAGAGAGGGGTGTGGCCCCCATAATGTCAGTGATGTGGGGCAGAAGGACTGCTTCGGGGCCACATCTGGGTGCAGTCATTCTCTGTAGACCAGGATTAGAGAAGCTGCATGTGGAAGTCATGTATTAGTGTGCACAAATACCTGGTAAATTCTGGAAAAAGAGGTCAGGAGTTGGAAATCTTTTCTGATACTACATTTGTAGTGAATATGTAACAACAGGAAGTTTTCTTCTTTACATTTATACATATATGTATGTGTATACACATACACACACACACATGCGTGCACAGAAAGTGGAACTTTGTGTCCACCTTGTATATATACTGTCATCTGGTCACCCAGGCTAGAGTGCAGTGGCGTCATCATAGCTCAGTGCAGCCTCAAACTCCTGGACTCAAGTAATCTTCCTGCCTCAGAACAGGAAAGCTTTGAAGCCGTTCTCAGTATGGCCATTCTGTGGACAGTGTATGTTCTTGCACATTCTCCTCTGCAGCAGGTGTTTTAGGTAAAAGTGGTTCAAATTTTGCATAGATATTGAAGCAGAATTTCTTTGTCATCAGAGAGGGTACAACCATATTCTTCTTCTACCAATCAGTATTAAGTATTTTCTTTTTATTGTAAGCATCCCTTCCTGTATATTCTTGTCTTATAGTAAAACTCCACTCAGAGATGCAGTTTATACCGTTAGATGTAAGGCATCCCCTTTTCTGTCAATGTACTGCCATCCTTCTGGTTTCCCTTGGAAGCCACTTTTGAATATGGTTTGACAAAAGACAGAGCAAATTTTGTGTAGATGTATTCCATATTGTTATAAGATTTTATTTATTTATTTATTTAAACAGAGCCTCAAGCTGTTGC